TGCTGACTCGGAAAAAAAAATTTGACTCGTTCCTCATTTCTTGAAAAACAAGCAAAATCGACCCTATTTACTTTTTAAATACATGTTTCTCTGCACATTTTAAGTACATATTCTTATTTTTTAAAGTTTGTAATCTTTTAGAAAGATAAAATGTAGTAATAATTTATCCAGAAACTATTTTCTTTGTTGGCTGATGTCTCTCTTAGTTTCCAAGTATTACTCTTTCTTTGCTTTTGGCCGTCTTTGGCCATTGCACAGTTGAAAATATTTATACTTCCTTGCATAATGCCTATACGGGCACATGCCAAAATGCCCATATGGTTAATCTGGCATACTACTGTAAGCTTATGTCAGTGTTTAGTTTTCAAACTACTCCTTAGTTTATGCCAAATACGGTTTATAAAGCAGTTGTATTTTTAAAAGAATACCAGAGCCAATGATTTTTATGATGCTCAGCTTCAGGGATCTTATCTATGCACAATCAGCTTGTAACACTCCAAAGAGAAAGGAAAACTTGAAATCGCATCATATGACCCCTTTAACTTGTTCTTCCACCAATGGAAATGGAGCACTGTACTAAAATACTTCGATAAAATAAATACCTCTTAAAGGGATAATTTACCCAAAAATGAATCATTTATTCACCCTCATGTTTTTCCAAACCTTAATGAATTTCTTTCAGCTGCTGAACACAAAAGAAGATATTTCGAAGAATGTGGGTAACCAAACAGATGACGGTAGCCATTGACTTCCAATGGCTACCGTCAACAGTTTGCTTACCAGCATTTTTCAAAATATCTTCTTTTGTGTTCAGCAGAAAGAAACTCTGAAAGGTTTAGAAAAACTTGAGAATCACTACCCATTTAAAATATTTAATTAAAAATAATAGTATTATTTTCGTTATAGTAGTATATAGTATATAGTAGTATTTTGTTGATAAATTTACGCACCTGTTTTTGTCATTAGCGCAGATCATGTTCAGCATTTTTTTTAAGATAGATAAAAGTTATTTTTATTTAGTAGTGCCCTTAAATAGTGATGTCTAAATAATTCAGCTCTTTGTGGTTCTTTTTAAAGAACCTGTCCAAAAATGAACCTGTTCACAAACCTGTATGTCGACACTTCCATCACGTCCTAGTCTAAATGAACCAAGAAGTGAGAAGCAAGTGAGCACTTACTTAAGAAAATAGTTTAATTTACACAAATGATCTTTTTGCAAAACCTTGTTCGCCTGGTTCTTGGCATCATGTGGCGTCTCCTTGAGAATCAATGACCGCTTTCAGCCTTTTGTAACTGATGTGTATGAGTTCCTCAATTGTCCTGAGTGCCAACGCTGAATCTCAAAATCATAAAGTCACTGTGGGGAAGAAATCAAATGTGCAGAGCATGCTGGGAAACCAATGAACTTACTGGACCTGGAGGCTTTTTGTCAAGAACAGTGGGCAGATTCACTACTCAGGAGAAACCGAGGACCCACACACAACTATCACAAAAGACTATAAACAGAAAAGGAGAACCAATGCTATGTGAGCATTTAAACAAAATAGTCAACAAAAAACTCGGCTATTATTTTTTTTATTGTGGAACATAATTACTGAATTTTAGAGATTCTTCTTATTTCAAAAAGGAGAAATTTTGCATTTTAAACTTTTGAGCAGAGGTTAGGGATTAGTTTTGTTATTGTTAATTACAACTAAAAGTATTAAACATTTTTTAATTCGTTCAAATAAAACTGAAAAAAAAAAATTGGCATCTAAGTTAATAATTTTAAGTTGAAGAACCATAATTACTAAATCTAAGACAGAAAAAAAGATTAATAATAAAATACATTAAAAAATAACAAAATTGCTAAAAACTAAAATTAAAATTAAAACTGAAAAGTTAATTCAAAATATAAATTAATACTATAATGGTATATAACTAATACTAAAATAACACTGTTAGGAATGCACAATCAGCCAATATTAAAAGGATGTTTTTTTTATTGATTGATTGTTGGTATTGTTAAATTGGATATTTAATTGTGCTTCTCCTATTTAAAACATGTAGATTACCATTTTGGTAACACTCACATATAATTAATCTCAGACTTTAATAACAAATAATAAATGTAATCTTTATTGATATTTCATAGTGTACATAAAAATGTTGTGATGCCTAAATTGCATTCTAATTCTATTTTTTATATTTTATATTTTTATTTTAAAACTTATTTGTTTTGTCTTATTTAATTTTATTATCTGCCATTTTTTATTCAAGGTAATAATATATAAATAATTATCGGTTTTTATCTGTATGCATAATATTTTACATTTAACATTTTTACATTGGTTTTGCCCCGGAAACGGAAAGAATGTGTAAAATGTGCTTCACAGAGCATGATATACGTGCAAACATGTGCGTGCACCAAGTGAAGCATGCCAGGCTAAGTAGCTTTACATATGACCTCCAGAGTTGCCTTAAAGGGATAGTTCACCCAAAAATGAAAATTTGATGTTTATCTGCTTACCCCCAGGGCATCCAAGATGTAGGTGACTTTGTTTCTTCAGTAGAACACAAATGATGATTTTTAACTTTAACCGTTGCAGTCTATCAGTCGTATAATGCATGGCAATGGTAACAAAATCTATGAGAGTAAAAAAAAAGTGATCTCTCGCGCGTATACGTCACTCATTGGTTACACTGTGCACAGTCATTGTAGGTACAACGGCTAATCAAAATGGTACTTACTTGCGCTTATCCGGATTGTTCAAACCGACTTAAAACTAAAAGATTACGTTCTCTCGCGCGAACTCATTTTTTTTACTCTCATAAATTTTGTTACCATTGCCATGCATTATACGACTGATAGACTGCAACGGTTAAAGTTAAAAATCATCATTTGTGTTCTACTGAAGAAACAAAGTCACCTACATCTTGGATGCCCTGGGGGTAAGCAGATAAACATCAAATTTTCATTTTTGGATGAACTATCCCTTTAACTTTGTATGTCTCAGCTACACAAATGCATGCAAATACACAAGCTCTCACGCTGACACCACCTCTCACACACTCTCATTCATACTCACATCATCTAATACACAGAGCTGAGCAAAAGCATAAGGAACAAGGAAGGAAGATCAACAGAAAATACTGGAGGAATGAAAAGAACATTATGAGAAAGATGAGGCGAGAGATAAAGGAAAAGACCCAGAAAAACAGATCATGCATGCGTCTGAGACGTAGGCGTAGATTTGGGTACATGTGGGACAACATGTATCTACCAAAGTTGAAGGACTAGTTCACAAAAAAAAAAAAAAAAGGAAAATTCTGTCACCATTTACTCACCCTCATTACAAACCCATACAACATACTTCCTTCCGTGAAATACAAAAGGGGAAATTAAAGAAAGAAGAAAAAAAAAATGCTATTGCTCTTTCATGCATGCACAATGAATTTCAAGCACAAAAAACTATAAAATATTAAAAAACTGTAAAAAATGATCATTAAAAATATCATAAAAGTAGTCAATATGAACAGTCTTCTTATGTCCTACCATAACTTTGTATACGAACAGAGTGACATTGAGTAGTTGAGTAATTTTCCCCTCTGTGTCGGTGAGTTGAGACAGATCAAGAAGAATCTTGAGAGTTTTTATGAATTAGATCAACCGGATCAATAAGAATAGTAAGGAGAATTTGAAATAAAAATTAGAGTTTGCTTATTAAAGAAAGAAGAAAAAAAAGAACAGATAGTTAGTGAATTACAACTTGAATTTCATCTCTTCATCAAAGAAAACTAAAGAGTCGTTATAGAATATTCTTCACAATTTCTCATTTTTGCAGGAGTTAAATTTTTTATATATATATAATAATAGTGTAGTTTTTGTTCAGTGTGAAAGGAGAAGCACGTTCAACAAGCAAAACAGAATTTGAAAACTAGCGATTATTATGCATTTTGTTGCCTGGAAAAGAGCGGCTCTGAGATTTTTGTTACACAAGGAACAACAAGAGTGCATGGGTAGATGATGACTGAATTTGCAGTTAAATGTAAATGATTTAAGGGAAGTGACACAGTTGGACTGTCCAGATTTAGGCATGATAAAATGCTATATCTGCCCCATCATTTTAGACACTTGCAATAATAATGACTAAAACATTTTTTTTAAAATAATTTTAGTGAATTTAAATGCCTACAAATGTGAATTCTTAAAGTTATTTCTAAAATAATATTTATAAAAAATAAAATATTAAATATACAAGGGGTGTACACATTATTTTAATAAAATAAGCTTAAAGGAATAGTTCACCCAAAAATGAAAATTTGCTTAAAATTAACTAACCCTCAGTGCCTCCAAGATGTAGATATGTTTTTTTATTCATCTGAACAGATCTGGATCAATTTAGCATTACATCTATTGTTCACCAAGTGGATCCTCATGCAGTGAATGGGTGCCGTCAGAATGAGAGTCTAAACAGCTGATAAAAACATCAACAAATTCACAAATAATCCACACGACTCCAATCCATAAATCAAACTCCTGTTAAAAATGAAAAGCTGTGTCTGCAAGAAACAAATCAATAATTAAGGCTTTTTAAGTAGCGCCAATTGATGTTCTTATCAGCTATTTTAACTTTCATTCTGACGGCACCCATTCACTGCAGAGGATCCATTAGTGAGCAAGTGATGGAATGCTACATTTCTCCAAATCTCTTTCAATGAAGAAACAAACTCATCTACATTTCGGATGGCCTGAGGGTGAGGACATTTTCATCGCATTTTTTTATTTTTATTTTTGAGTGAACTATTCCTTTAAATGTACAAATACCTACATACAGTACTTGTACAGATTATATTGTCTTTCTAAACAACTGTTTCGCTATAACAGGCAATATCATACAGTAAAAACATGGTGCTTTTGCTTATTTGATTTGAAAACGTTGAAACCAAACCTATGCCCTTGGTCTGAGAGAAAAGAGGACAGCGAGAGAGAGAGAGAGAGAGAAGTAGGCTCGGCTTACCTGCTCTGAGGTAAACGTTATCTGAGAAATAAACAGACAGGAACAAAGATGACCAGCAAATACACACTGACTAAACATGCACACTCACACACACTCATAAAGGTATGCATACAAACAAAACACTACTTGTTTTGGTAAAACAAACAGTATTCCTGGCTGCGCCTACACATTTTTTTTTTAAATTAAGCTTCTGTACACACTATAAACCCTAATTAATGGCGTTTACTTGCATTTGCACGAGTCATTTAATTTAGTCATATATCTTCTGGCACTCAGTGAAATGAACTTTGCTAATGTAAATGGGTCATGATGACAATAGTTTTCCATAAACCATTTGATTAAATGCTAAAGAACTTCATTTCTACCATCAGTTATTTTCCTGTCAAAACAAATGATGTAAATTACAGTATTACACGTTGCAGTTCTTCATTGGCTGAATGATTCAAATGCGTTGTGAGGTTAAAACCCTTAATCATTTTAAAGACCAAATTTCAGCCCAGGTATGTTAGCTTTGAGGCTAATATGCTAGTGTAAACACAACAAAATAAACTTTTATAGCATTTTAAATGTTTATTACAATACCAAAACATTTTCAAATGATCTCTAGAATTAAATTCTAAATTATAAAAACATTATAAATACCATCAGCCTCCCATAACAAGTTGCAAATTATGGTTTATTTTTGGTGCTGATTTTAATACATTACCTGTTTACTTTTATTTACCTCGTTCTTTGAGAAGGAAGTGGCTTTGTGTGGTTTACTGGGCTGTGATGTAAACTAAAGGCTATTGGCTGTTATATAAAAAGGGAGGGAGTGCTGTTGTATGTCCTGCCCCAACTTCCTGTTTCAGCGCATCAACACAGGAAAGTAAACTGCACCAGTCAAACCATTTTAATGGGTTCTTTAGAAACGCCTGCATTTTTGGACTATAGTGCCATTTTGGAGAATATTTCAACCACTAACAGAGCTTTTTTTTTTAAAAAAAAAAAACAGAATCTTGCTTCAGAGCTTCTGGCGATTGTTGATGGTGTCAGACTGCATCTTATTTTAGAAATGCAAACACAGATTTGATCTATTTCTTCCGAAAACACACATACACAAAAAACCAGACAGATTGCTTGACAGTAACAGCAACTTTAGCTTTAAATAAATAAATGACCATAAATAAAGCAAACTTTAATGCATATTTATTAACTCAGTAATTTTATATAAATATTTAAGTGCGCTTAAATTAAGTTTATTACTATTTTACAAAATGTTCCAGATTAAATACATTTTATATTTACAAAAATGCACTTACAGTGGAAGCCTAGGGGCAACTGTACATTGACAGTGCATTACTTTACATACAATTTTTTCAAACTGAGGTGAAATTGAAAGTATTTTAAGTAGAAACTGACAGCATTCCACAAATGCTTTCCATGAAGTTGAATTTTATGTTATGCATACTGCATTCCATAGAGGATATAATCTGAATATTCCTTTAATATGCATAATGGAAGGATGTATTAAACACATCAATTTTAAATTCAAATTACAAAACCCAATACTGCAATCAATGTCATCATTTCCTCATTAAGATATGCATCCAAGTAAAAAAGGAAATGTAAAGTCATTATCGCAAAATAAATCCCATCAAGATGATCTTGCGATAATGACAGAATGCAACACATGACTACCTGAGATCAAGTATATGAAATGTATAAGGTTAAGAGAGAAACTAAATTGGTAACTAGACAGTTTTGGAAAAAAATTAAATGAAAACACTCAGGGCGGGTCTAAGGTAAGACACCAGTCCAGTCTGTGCTGAAACGCTACTGTCAATCAAACTATCGTGGGAGGGGCCTGTTTTTGTGACGTTAAACAGACAGGCATCTGAGATCGGCTCAATTTGAGAAAGGGGTAAAGATATGAGCAGATTAAAAAAAAAAAAAACACTGGTTGGATTTTTATCATTATCATAGGGTGGGCTGTGTACACACACTGCCAACACACATTTCAGTTCAAACAACTTGTAAAAGTTCATGTAGCATCCGATGACCCCTTTAAAATAACTTCTTTATGTTCCAGAATAAGAAAGTTTGGAATGGCATGAGGGTGAATAAATGATGAATGAATGGTGAACTATCCCTTTAAAGCCATTCAGTGTGACTGAGCACTATTATGAAATATTTAGAAACATTATTTAAATTCAGCGTTGTCCCCAAGCCAACTAGAATCAGACATGTTAAAACACTGCATGCTTTTTATTATAATGTAATATTCTGACACAATTGGGATCGGCATTGTCTGTTATTGCTGCTTGACCTTTCAGGCATGCGTTTGACAACAGAACACTTTGTTCAACCGATTATTTTTCTGCTTCAAAACCTTTTCTGCCAAAATAAACTTTTCTAATATGGGTAAAACAGGTATGGTCAGATTCTTCTAGCACAGGTTTAACAAATAAGCTCTTAAAAAAAACTGAATGGTGCCCATTCTCTGAAGTGTGGAGTGGTTTAAAAAGATATCGAGATTGTCAAATATATTAGTGAATCCACCAACTGATGATTTTAGATGTCTTGGAGGATACCAGGTCAAATGTTTCTGACAGGAAAAGACACTACGAGGCTCTGTGTTTACCTGTTATAACCTGTTTGTTGACACATTTTAAGTCATTAAGCCAGTCATGTGTCATAGCATGTAGGATTAAATGATATGATAAAATACAATACATCTGATAGCCTTGCAAATATTTGACGGTAACCCAAATGTGGAAATCATACACTGCATAGTCAAGGGTCCAAATCTCGAATCTGTTGTAGGATGCACAGCGAAGTTCTGCAATAGCACAGTACCACAATGAAGGCCCTAACCTTAAAATGATCATGACTGTGGCCTGTAGCCTAAGATTAATACTGTATGTGTGTGTTTAGGTGCCAATACCTTTGACCAATGAATTACAATTTTTCCACTTATTTGTGACTGCTGGATACAGATTTTTGAAAATACAGACTAGATAGAAATTGCACTCACACAAAAAATAAAAAAATAAATATATTATACATCTAAGCACAACTAGATAGAAAAATAATATTCACTCCATTTTTCCAATGAAAATGTTTAATTGCCGACACTTCTGAAGGCCTTAAAGGGATAGTTCACCCAAAAATGAAAATTACCCCATGATTTGCTCACCCTCAAGTAATTCTAGGTGTATATGACTTTCTTCTTTCAGATGAATACAATCGGAGTTATATTAAAAAATGTCCTGTCCATTATTATAGTGAATTGGGTGTTGAGATTTTGAAGACCAAAAAACTGCATCCATCCATCATAAAAAGTGCTCCACACAGCTGTAGGCAAAGCGTTAGCTCCGGTGAGCTAGTCTATATGCTAGTCTTGCGAGAACCAAGATTTGTTAACAGCATAGGAAAACCAGTCTCCTCTTGGCTTATATATCGCAATCCTCCAACATTTTTCTTTACAAATCTTAATTTTGCACTTCTGCTTCGTGACCAGTGTTTTGTTTTGCTCTCTCCTCTGTGCTTCCACGTTTGTCACATCTCACTGGAGCTTACGCTACATCGTCCGCTGGAATGCCACTCTTTCGTGAACGCGCATACGACAGTTAGCGGAAGCTAGAGCTTACAGTTTACACAGTTTTGAATATGGTTATTTTTCTTACATAAATGCATCGTTTCACTTCAGAAGGCCTTTTTTAACCGCCCGGAGCCATGTGGAGCACTTTTTATGATGGATGGATGCACTTTTTTGGGCTTCAAAATCTCGACCCCCATTCACTGCCATTATAAAGCTTGGAAGAAACAGGCGAGCTGTTTTAGGTAGGCGTGGCTGACTCTTAACTTTTATAAAGAATATCTCTTTGGATTTGAGACTTTAGTCTTTGCAACTTTACAGATCTTCTTTATGCACCAAGAGCTTGTAACACTCCAAAGAGAAAGGAAACCTTGACATCGCATCATATGACTCCTTTAATATAACTCTGATTGTATTCATCTGAAAGAAGACAGTCATATACACCAAGGATGGCTTTAGGGTAATTAGTAGTTAATAGTAAATCATAAGGTAATTTTCATTTTTGGGTGAACTAGCCCTTTAAAATCACAGAAAACAATTGATTTCTGGCCCAATCGATATTTATTTCAATAAAGCCGCACCTGTCCTGTACTTCTAATCTTGATCAAATAAGATTTCTCAATTTCTATATTACCTCCACAGACATTCCAAGAATTTAATTTCTAATTCTCATTCTGTTTTATTCTAAACTAATGAATTTGCTCTTTAGGATAGTGAAACATCTGAAACAAATGTGTAACTTGTCAATGTGTTCTTAACTAAACTTTCAACTAAACTCTTATTAAGTTTCCATTTCAGCATAATTTTTTTTTATACCCCTAACCCTACCTAACTTTATTTGGGACTGTCTAAAGCAAACAAACAATTTTACATTGACGAAAATGACTAAAGAAACATAACACCCAGTGGTCAATACACTTCCGAATTACACTAAGAAATTACATACTACACTAAGAACATATTTTACTAACAATAATAGCAAGTGATAACAATATAAACGCACACAAATAGCAAATGCTGGATTATTGTAAAGAATTGTGACTGTTCACCGATGCTGTTTTTGGGCAAACATTGAAAATCCAGGTTAAAGTTCATGAAGAAATGATATGGTGTATTGGATAACACTGATAACCTGCTTCCAGTTCCAAAGAATCAATCCCACCTTTGGAAGAAAATAATCCACTTAAACCTAAAGCCTGTCCCAGGCTTTCAAGCTGTTATAGACATTACAGTGCTCACTCATTCATTTTGGAGGACAATGTATATATTTCAGTACAACTTTGCATTGTTTGTTTGATTAGCATAAGTATTTGAACAAACAAGGTATTCGCTCTACATAGTGAGAAGAACTCTGTGTGTGTGTGTGCTTGGACGTCATTTGTTTAGACAGGAGGGACTGTTTTAACACGAGCTTTATCTGTGTTTGAATAGACATGTGTCTCTGAAGGTGTGTTGGTTTAAGTTTGGGTGCACTTGCGCCTTACCTTCAGGTGGCTGAAGCGTTTTGTTGTTCTGAGCGCACCAGCCGACAGGATGAAGTTCGGCTGTCATGACGTCACACCAGAAGTCAGCCTTGCGGTCGTCGCCATAGCCACAGTAGCGTAACAATAGCAACTGACCACATGTGGTTATAATGGTGGCCACCCAATATGTATCCAAACTGCCCTTATTAGCTACTTCAAGCTTCATTCCAGGCTGAAAACTGCTCTGAAGACTGAGCTCCACCTGTAAGGTTCAGTCAGATGTTAGTATGATGTATTAAGACTTTGCTGTATTCTTCCATGAAACATACATGGGCTTATTGATGGCCTCAAAACACTAATAACCATATAATATACTGCTGATATTACATCCTTGAGTGATCAGTTTTGGCCTAATGTTAAATGGCACACCTCCTATTTTGTCAGTGTGTGCGATTCTCAGGACCTGATTTGACATTAGACATCAAGTAGCAACCCAGTACCAAACCTAACCTGTATTTCATGTTTCCTGGATTGTATTTTTAAACGTGCTCACGATTTTGAAGTGAAACATGTCACACAATGTGCCCATGTTGGAATCAGTCTATTTTTTCTAGTTTTTACAAAGTAACTTTGTGCCAAAACACCATTTACAAAATCAATGACAAAACAATATATGCATTCAAAAGCATTTGGGGTCTGTAAGATTTTCTAATATTTTTGAAGGAAGTCTCTTATGCTCACCAAGGCTGCATTTATTGAATCCAAAAATACAGTAAAAATTGTAATATTGTGAAATATTATTGCAATTACAAATATGACAAATTATTAAAATTTAAAATAACTATTTACTGTTTTAATATACTTTAAAATCTAACTTAAAGCTGAATTTTTCAGCAGCCATTACTCCAGTCTTCAGGGTCACATGACTGAAAATCAGTCTATTGTGCTAATTTATTATCAATACTAGAAACACTTGTGCTGCTTAATTTTTATTTATTTTTTTAAACCTGTGATACTTTTTTCAGAATTCTTTGATGAATGAAAAGTTAAAAAGAACAGCCTTTATTCAAAGTAGACATAATTTGTAACAATATGAGTCTTTACTTGACATTTTAAAATCAATTTAACATATCCTTGCTGAATAAAACAAAAAACGAAAGAAAGAAAAAACATACTGACCCCAAACTTTTGAACGCTAATATATATTATTATGAAATGTTTCTATTTTGAATAAATTAATAAGTGTATGTAGGAAAAAAAAGTATCACAGGTTCCAGAAAAAAAATTAAATTACAATTAAATAATACTAGAAACACTTGTGCTGCTTAATTTTTATTTATTTTTTTAAACCTGTGATACTTTTTTCAGAATTCTTTGATGAATGAAAAGTTAAAAAGAACAGCCTTTATTCAAAGTAGACATAATTTGTAACAATATGAGTCTTTACTTGACATTTTAAAATCAATTTAACATATCCTTGCTGAATAAAACAAAAAACGAAAGAAAGAAAAAACATACTGACCCCAAACTTTTGAACGCTAATATATATTATTATGAAATGTTTCTATTTTGAATAAATGAATAAGTGTATGTAGGAAAAAAAAGTATCACAGGTTCCAGAAAAAAAAAAATTACAATTAAATAAATAAATAAAAAATTAAGCAGAGAAACACTGTTAGTAAATCAGCATATTAGAATGATTTCTGAAGGATCATGTGACACTGAAGACTGGAGTAAAGGCTAATGAAAATTCAACTTTGCCACCACAGGAATAAATTATATTTTAAACTAATATTTAAAGTAGTTATTTTACTGTATTACTGTTTTACTGTATTTTTTATTAAATAAATGCAGCCTTGGTGAGCATAAGAGATTTATTCAAAAAATATTAAAAATCTTACTGATCCCAAACTTTTGTATGGGTTGGGTGTGTGTGTGTGTGTGTGGCACACACACACACACACACACACACACACACACACACAGAGACATTCTGTCTGTGTGTTCTCACATGTCTGAATGAAGTGTGAGGGGCGGCAGTGGCTCCAGTTTCTTCGAGGTACTCCTCCCAGTTAAAATCCACCTCCTCCTCTACACAATCCATGCCTGGTAGGAAAGAGAAACACTGTAAGAAAGTGTGTATGTGCATGATTAGTTTGCTGTTGGCACAGATGTTATTGTGGTATTTCGTCTGGTTTGTTATTTTTATGGTTACCTATTTGGACGAGCCATATTCTGTTCAATCACATGAATGCAAATGTTTCTAACCAGCTCAATTTCATGCATCATTGTGTTCCAAAATGTGTCCCAATGCAATTCTCAACTCAAGTATGTGTTTTCACTATAGCCACAAGGAGATCTATAATGAGTAAACTGAAAACTGACTTCCTCTGTGGTCAGTTTTCTGTCCTAGTACTCTCACAACCCAATTAATTCCTCATTAAATCTAATTCTGCCCAACATTTTGGTCAATTAATATTTGGTTTTACACAAAAATGTGATGTTAGTCAAAGTAATGTGGGTTGTTGTTTGTAATTCTCACCTGCATATTTGCATATAGTTTGTATCTAAAGAAAATGGTCGGCAAACGACTGTCAATAATCTTACAAGACTCTATGATAACCAAATGCAGTGACGCGTTTTGATGAGCAAATGCAAGAAGTATTCATAAACTCACAAGTGTGACAAACACCAGCATTCCTATCACTCCCACATCTCTCTCTTTTCTGCTAACTAGACCTAATAACATTATTACATTACTAAATACACCAATGATTTCTGGTTTTACACTAGGCCATTTATGTCATGAGTCATCAGATGTTTCACTTAGAAAAAAGAAAATGTGTGGGAGAGTCTAATGTGTTTTCCCAATGCTGAGCACAGCTGAGGACTTCCTCTAGAAGATTCAAGATAAAACCCTCATTCATCTAAAACCAAGGACAGAACTTCCATATTTCTATTACTTTTCTAAGCGTTCAACAATTTTTGCGCAATTTCACACATCCATTCATTATATTTGACCAGCTTCCAATGTTAGAGAGCATGTGAAGCGTATCTATCAAGATGATCATATAGAACAGTTACACGTAAATTAATTTGAAGAATCGAACACTAAAACTAAAATAAGGTTGCAATTCTACAACATCTACTCTTGATTTACTGCATAGTGTGAAAAAGATGCGAACTTCTCACAAGCTACACCTTGTTGCTCTCATCTTCAAATCGAAAATGTTGTTTGCTCCATTGTTTATTCACATCAAATCATACAGTAGCTACTCTCACTGTGGTCTATGCTGGATTGTTCACTAGGTTAACAAAGAGAACTTCAAAGGAAAAGGCTGAGTAAACAAATAGACCATTTTACAATCTTGCGGTAATTTCAGATACAGTAATCTAAGCACTGTTGGTGTAAAGGTCTGTTCTGCTCTCCTATGGGCTGGGATTTGGATCTTCTGCACTGAGGATGTCATTACAGTCTCCAGTATGTGAAAAGCTGATGATTGCACTGATGATAATAACGGCGTCCTTCAAACACTGATGTCTTCAACAATAGCATGTTTTGGTTACATCTACTTCTACTGCTTCTGACTTGGAGTCATGTAATGCTTTAACACTTTTAACATGCTATTATTTCTTTGAATTCAGGAAAAAAATGAAGACTAAACATGCCTTGTTTGCTCATTTTTGGTTTGCTTATAACTAGTGAATCACATAGGTTCCTAATTAATTCAAAGCCCAATACACCATTCTTTAAAATAAAGCTTCCATTTGGGACTAATAAACATTTTTTTTAAATTCTCTAGTTCTTCAAAAACCATCTACACTCTTAAAATAAAAGGTGCTTCAAAAGGTTCTTCAAGCGATGCCATGGCATAGAAGAACCATTTTTGGTTCCACAAAGAACTATTCAGTCAAAGGTTCTTTAAAGAACCATCTCTTTCTTACCTTTTTATAATCTGAAGAACCTTCTTTTACCAGAAAGAACCTTTTGTGAAACAGAAAGGTTCTTCAGATGTTAAAGGTTCTTTATGGAACCATTTAGACAAAAAGGTTATTTTATGGCATCGTGTAGCACCTCTATTTTTAAGAGTGTAACCTCGGCAGATGGACTGATTTGGACTTTGTCCCCAGGTCATGGAAAGAACCTTTTGTGAAACATAAAGGTTCTTCAGATGTTAAAGGTTCTTTATGGAACCATTTAGACAAAAAGGTTCTTCTATGGCATCGTGAAGCACCTTTATTTTTAAGAGTGTATACTGGTGTTTTAAAGAAGCCAGAAACCAATATACTGGTCTGAAGAACCTTTTCCAGTCCTTCATTTCCATTCATTTTCACAGAAGCAAATTGATTCTTCATAAGAAAGAAACATACTCTTTAAAGTTACTCTTTTTGGAGTGAAGAGCAATAAATAATGCATACATTGTGACACTAAAGTATTTTTCTTCTGGTTTCAGATGGAACTAAGAATGAGAAGTGCACGTTAACACCAAAACCACTTCCTTGCAAATGACTCACTCAATATTTGCCATGATGGCAGTGTGTGTGTATGTGCATTTGTTGTGTGTTATAAACACAGCAGACCAATTCCACAGAAAAAAAATATTATGGTTCTGTCACTCATTTGGCAGATATTTCTGGCGTCTTCCGCACTAACCCGGTCGAAAAAAGACGAGAATCAAAGCGGAAATTGACGGCACAAGGATTCACTGTGACTTACAGTATGTGGGTTTTAAATGTAGAAAAGGTGTTCTGTCCCCAGTTCATGGGAATTTGCATCCAAATTGCTGTCAGACAGGCAATGTTTGTTAATATCAAATGGGTAATGTTCGAATGATATCTCATATTCATTGCTGCTGTCATTTGGATGTCTTGATTGTGGGTTCGTTGTGGTTCAGCCAACGCAGTTGGGCCTGTGGGTGGAAAGACACCTCCAGATTGAAGATGTGGGATTAAAGTGAATTATCAAGCCTAATCTATGATGTGGGCTGTTTCAGAATAAATCCAGATTTTAGGAAGGCCGTAATATCGATTAGCTCGTATTGAGCCAGATGCCCTCTCTCACTCTAATCCAGGACTTGTTAAACTGTGGAAGGAGAATTAAAGGATTATCGGAGCACAATGTAGCATTGCTTTTCTTATTAAAATAAATGGCTCTGGCCTTTTTCAATCTGAGACACATTTAATAATCCATTTTTAATCACCCAACTTGGAGAGAGGAATTGTTAAGGCTAGCTGCGTGTTCATCTGTCTGATGTTTAGTTTAGGAGGTTGCAATACGTTTATTTGGTCAGTTTTCCTGATGACATTACAATGTAAATAATAATAATATAAAAAATTCAGCCCACTTCAACTTGAAAACTTGAGTTTAATTATTTCCTACAGAACACTTTTTTTTTTTTAAATGGTTTGACTATTTGCATTATTTGCTTAATGTTTTCCAGGAAACTCTATATATCAGGAATATAGGAAAATGCTTATGGCAAGAGCCCTGAAATAGCTCCATTAAAAATTATTTGAGTATTCAATTACACATGCACATCAGAATTTAGCACACAAACCTCAATAATGGTAATGAGTAAAAAAAAATCACCACATAACTGACAGTGACAACAACAACAGCACAAGTAAAAGTAGCAAACAATAAAACAATAAGTACTCCATATAATTCATTACTACTAGAAGAAGTACTGGATTGCATAAAACCATGGGGCGTCACTAGAAGCTGAAATCAATATGACTGACTTTCTTTGGCCATGTTATGCATGCAGACTTGCTAGAGAAGTCAGTAATGAATGGTCAGTGGAATCAGAAGAAGGGGGTGACAAAGAACTTGCTAGCTTGACACCATCGAAACAGATACTACAAAGAAGCAGTGCTTGAGGGGATAGGATGGAGAATGTTTCTCCATAAGGTCACCGAGAGTCGGATACGACTGAATGGATAGTTTATCATAATTAATTAATGCTGCAATGCATGTTGTGAACTCAAGCAGGCCTACAGCATCTTTTACAACTGTGTGGTCAATCTTCTATTGGTGTCTTATATACGTATATTAAATACAAGTCTTCAAGCGTTCTCATGTTTAACGTGTGAAAATAAGTGTAAAATTGCCAGTTCTGTTTCTCAGAACAGTTTCCCTTTTACACATGCCAAAGTAGCTACCAACTTACAGTGTTAGGTTTATTACATTTAACCCAACCACTCTGAATTGACTTCAGTCAAGTTAGAAAAAAAAATCAAGTTGAAAGTCAAATGGACAGAAACAAACATGGTATACCAACAGGTATACCACACCATCTTTTTTTCTGCCACTTATACCTGATGTTTTTCTATAAAGTATTATATATTAAAGCAGTCACACTTTATTTTAAGGTCCAATTTTCACTAACAAACCATTAATGGCTTTTGCCTCAATAAACTACTAATTGGCTGCTTATTAATAGTTAGTACGGTAGTTGTTAAGTTTAGGTATTGGGTAGGATTATATGGTCATGCAGAATATGTGCTTTACTAATAAACAGCCAATATGTTAATAATAGGCATCTAACAAGCAACTAGTTAATATTGAGGATTGTTCCCTATAAAAGTGTTACCATTAAAGCATTAGTCTTGAACTGAAATAGGATGACATCACTTCTCAAAAACACAACATGATGGCATCACCAAGGTACAGTATTCAGTTCCTTGCTATTTTCTCTTTACCAGACAAAGAAAAATACCCATGGCATCATTCTCTATAAAAACAACTTTGTGACCTTATAAAGGGAAATTCATGCTTGTGGTATCCTAGGTGAGCTGATAATGCTAGATAATATGTGTAGGATGTAGGATAGTAGCTATGCATAAGCCTATAGGCTATGCCAAAAAAAGAATAAACACTGCCCATGCATTCCTGCACTGCAAGATGCTTATGGACATGAAGTTCCCTTTTAAATGAATCATTATAAATGTGAAAGTCTGTCTGATTGGAAGCCGCCTACATTTGCTTTCACTCTCACGTTGTGACGTCCTCAATGACATTACATCACAATGGGCTGAATGTAAATTGCATTATTCAATCCGCAACAGAAGAACAGCATGCAGTCACCCGATCTGCGCGACCCGAGGGTAAACTATCTGATTACCCTATGACGTATCGCATATCTCTCACTCACAATGCACATCTAACAGTGTTTGTGTGTCTTAAATATTGCTTACCAGTAGCCTACTTTACATGTTACGTAACGTTAATCAACATGTGTGCGAATACGACTTTTTTTAGGTAATACTTAGGTCACAAAAGGTTAGTGAATCTCGCGCAGCCCCAAATGCAGTTTGTCTCCACTGCTACAGTAGGCTATATTTTTTAACGTTTCTGTGATATATCACACATTTTGTATTAAGTAAAACGTATTTACGTTTTGTTTGTGTACTGTACGTGCTCAAGCCGCGTGCTGTTGCCATGGTTACCTCCTCAGACTAAAGCGACTTCTGTTTGCTAGCGTCTATTTGGCCGCTAGTGATACACTCGATAACTCGTAAACTTTTGTGGCTCCTGGACCGTTGTATATAAGGCTGAATGTAAAATATAATACGTAGACCACTTTTAAGACCTCCAACCTTTTGTTTTGACTTAGTTTTGAGGGTTCAGGCTTTAATTAGCGGGTCAACCTCTTCTCCCTCATAGCTCACCCTGTAAGCGCCGGACAGGTGTCGTATCTGCTTTCGTCTTGTTCTTCTGCACTTAGATTTTTACCTTAATGAAAAAAAAAAAGTTTTCTGGCTCAACTGTGAAGGCACAATCGATTCAAATGTCAAGCTTTATCGAAGCTTAACGTTTTGTTTGTGTACTGTACGTGCTCAAGCCGCGTGCTGTTGCCATGGTTACCTCCTCAGACTAAAGCGACTTCTGTTTGCTAGCGTCTATTTGGCCGCTAGTGATACACTCGATAACTCGTAAACTTTTGTGGCTCCTGGACCGTTGTATATAAGGCTGAATGTAAAATATAATACGTAGACCACTTTTAAGACCTCCAACCTTTTGTTTTGACTTAGTTTTGAGGGTTCAGGCTTTAATTAGCGGGTCAAACTCTTCTCCCTCATAGCTCACCCTGTAAGCGCCGGACAGGTGTCGTATCTGCTTTCGTCTTGTTCTTCTGCACTTAGATTTTTACCTTAATGAAAAAAAAAAGTTTTCTGGCTTTTGTGAAGGCACAATCGATTCAAATGTCAAGCTTTATCGAAGCTTACACGCAGTCAGGCTGATTCAGCGTATTTCAACACATCGATGATTTGGATGCCATGAATTCCATAACCGTATCGTTGAAGTGTTGTAGCTCTTTATTTCTTATGGCAGAACGGTTTAATTAGGCTTAACAAGTGCTTCTTAATAAATGGGCCTGCTATATACGATAGTCTAAAAAGGCTACCAGCGTAGACGTGAAGAGACTTATTCGTGTTCATCTCTTTCAGGTCAAGGCAGAGAATTAAAAAATAATAATTTCATCTCAGTTCATCTCAACTCCAAACGCGTGACTCCATTTCCCATTCAATACTGCCATCAGTTTAATCCGCCCGTATGAATAAAACCCCATGGATTTACAGCGACATCCACCAATATAAAGGTTAATCAGATAAATAGCTACTCGCATTTTGCGGAAAAATTAATCACTTTTAATTCAAAATCATCATAATTGATTTGAGAAGAATACGATGGTTCGTTCATTCGTAAAATTGTGTAACGTCTTAATAAATAGCTTTTTGAAACTGGGGAACCGTTTGATTAATAGGAATAATATGCGAATAAAATTACGGTTCTCTGTCAGCCCGCACAGCGAAGAGTAGCCTACACAAAGCGAAACAGGAAATATTGTATGAGCATGTGTGATACTGTACTTTACACACTCTAAAAGTATTGCAGCGGAAAAAAACTCCACCGACGTCGCCAAACGACAACTTTAAATTTAATTCATTAAAGCACGTCCAGGTGCAGCGAAAGAAACGAAAACTGGATGCGTAACCAGTGCGGTTTTATTTTTTCCTTCTTCAAAGATTTTGCATGGCAGTTTTAACACACCTTAACCCGCCATGTTGAAAGTGGATTTGACACATGAGGAACGAGGATTTCGGCTCATATTCTGCGCACCTGAATCACGTACGCCGACCGGTTCGTGACGTTCAGAAACATTTATATAAACACCGACCGAATATGTAAACTTAAGTGTTGATATTTACGCCTGAACGTTGTGTCCTTTGAAATCGAAAGGAGGTCAAATGGCAGTTTGAAAGTAAAGTCAATAACAGAGCGAGAGTCGCTTCGAGGAAGAACACGACACGAAAATATCGCTTGTTACATAAACGTTATTTTCCACGACATTCCCAGCGCGCGTATCTTCGGATCGTAAATATATTTATCGGCAGAATCGAAAGTGCGGTCGCTCGACATTCGTGTTACGTATAAATAAGGTTACTTTAATTTTCGGACCGTTTTGTCAACTCTTCACGCAGACGCTTCTGTATCTTTCCAAATGTTTTTAACGAGGAAAAAGCGTCTGGACGCGGACATTCGCGCAAAGAAGCGCGAGTCCGTGTCTGTCACGATCACTATTACAGAATGAAGTTCATGCTGATAATGTTGCTTTTACCTTAAGCGAGTTTTTTCCGTCTATCTGAATTGAGTGATCCGGTGTTCTGGTTGAAGCAGGAGCGGTGTGTGTATGTGTGTGTCCAATATGGCATCATCCCGCATCTGCGCATGTCTCAACATCTACAGATTATTTTCAAGCCGACTCCTTCATTGACCTTTACAGTTGCAAAATTTGTTCAGCCCATTATAAATAGAAATGGGCCCGAGCCTCCGCCTCCCTCGTGTGGGGAAACTCATGGCTGTGTCTTAAAACCTTGCGAGCCGCCTGCATGGACAGTATTGGGCATTCATAGCACTTTTGGGCATCATTGACGCATGCATCGTTTTTGGACGCTTTAGACATTTCGATGGCCAAAAATGCTGTATAAGAGAACGTGGTAGAAATGCTAATGAAATGCTCTCTATGTAGGTAACTCAATAGGTTTTGATACACAAGTGTAAACAAGAGGGGGCTGCTGTTGCAACCTCGTTTGCTTTTCATCTTGATTATCTATTTGATTATTTCTTCACACTTACGCAAAAACCATTGACCGCTTTACATGTGGAGTGTCTTTTTACTTCCATGTCTGTAAGTATAATTTAAAGTGAATATATATATATATATATATATATATATATATATATATATACACACACACACACACACACACACACACTCAAAAAGAGAGAAAGAAACATTTTAATATTGTTTCTATAATTTCATGTGTCGTTTTTTCCTTTTCAATTTAGCTATATCTTTTCCACAACTCATTTTGTCATATTTTTTGTGACATTATGTAGCTTAAATAAGGACAAGATCTAAAATACAGAATATTTCACAAATAAAAGTTCAGAAATAAAGAGTTAAAGTCATGAGTTCAGTTTAAAGTCATAAAAGTTCATGAGAGTCATTATAGTATTCATCAAAACAAAATAGCTAAAGTAAATATAACTTTCATTTACAAAAATATGACTAGCTATTATATGAATATGACAATGTAGGATACATTGTACAAAGTTATAACAAGTTAATAGTAATCTTAATGGTCTATTTCTACCTCATCTTAAAACTTCAAATAATTTTTCACTTGACTTAATTTAGAAGCCATATTTTACCTAGCAAATATATTTTACAGTGTACATATTCATCACAACTTTATGTAATGAATGTTACAGTATATCTAATTGCAAATTAATGTAAAAACAATGTATTGTTTTTTATTAATAAAGCATATTTTTAATTTAAAAATGAATGCAGAAATTAATATTGTTTAGAAATTATAATCCTATTTCAGACATGCAAATTCAGTGCTGATCTTGTCCTCCATTGCCATCCTGTGGTAACCGTATTTATTGCTGTGCTGAATTTAAATTGACATCAATATGATACTTTACAGTTTACAGCTCACTGTAAAGTACTACTCCTCTAGAGCAAAAAAAAATATATAATAATAAAAATAAAAACAAGTGTTCTCAATAGCATTGGTACAGAAATAGGGGTTAGTTTATCAGGCAACACCATCAACACCCTAAACCATAGGACACTATGTACACAAACAAGGTGAAATTCATTGAAAAAAAACCCTGCTCTCATCTAATAAGCACAGGCTTCCACTTAGTGATGTTACAGTAACAGATGGTTCATGCCTTGAGCTTAATCTACAAGAGGAGACTGTGGCAAGCATGTCCAGGGACAGATTACCACTGCTGGAGCAGCGACCTTGTGAGAGGAGATAAACAATGTGGGTCAATAGTTTATCCTCTCCATGCTCTGGGATAGTACTGAAAGTTTTGCCTGAGGAAATTAGCTCTGGACATTATCTGGTAGCCGATACTTTGGTATAAAGGCCTTCAGAAAAGTATGTGAATGAAAATATCCATAGCACATTACAGACCTGTTTTATAATGATTTTCAAAATATCTCAACATTTATAACTACACTGTAAAAACGTGCAGTTGTTACCTGACAAGACCCTTAAATTACCTTTATCTGTGTAACCTAATCATTTTGATTAAAATTTAATTAACAGTCAATTTAGATGTTAACATGAAACATATTTACAGGTTACCGAAACCACCAAATAACCATTTAGATTCTTGAAGGATCAGGTGATACTGAAGACTGTAGTAAGTGAAAATTCAGCTTTGCATCACATGAATAAATTACAATTAAAAAAAATATATATTAAAATAGAAAACACTTAAAAATATAATTATAGTTATGTGTGTGTTTGTTCTGTTGACTTTTAGTTTGTAATCTTGTGCCTTCAGTTCCTGTTTCCCTCTTATTAGTTCCTTGTCTTTGTCACCCCTGTGTTTATAAGCTTGAGTGTTTCCTCTGGTTATGTTCATGTCATTTCCATTTAAGTATGATAAGTTGGCTTGCTCCGATTTGTTCTTTGATCCTTTTCTTCTGTTTCTTGTATTTTGTTATTTTCTTTAATAAATCGTAATTCATTTTTCCTGAGTTACCAAACATTACAGAAGACCTGACTACTACCCATGGATCCAGCAGATTAGTTTGTGTGCCTTTGGCAGGGAGAGACACCACTGAGGACTATGCAGAGTGCTTTTGTGCTCCTGCCAGCTTTGTGGACTGGGAGGAGAAAGCTTTTAAGGACTTATATCACTTTGGGCTCAATGAGCCTGTTAAGCCTTTTCTGCCAGGAGGCAGATGTGACTTCAAATTGGATCAGTTCATTAATTACGCTATAAGAACCTGCCGGTCCCCCTACACTGTGGGATACATCTATGCTCCCCGATGAGCCCCAGCATTTCCCAGCCAGTGGTGGCACCCTGTCCACCCTCATTCTTGTTCCTCACTACAAAATCTAGCCCGGTGGTCCTACCACAGCGTTCCCTAGCCCAGTGGTCCCAAGTCTGGTGGTCCCAATGCTCCCAAGTCCATTGGTCCCAGTGCCCAGTAGTTCGGTGGTCCCAGTACAGCAACCTTTAGACCTGTGGTCTCAGTGCTCCCAAGTCTGGTTGTCCCAGGGCTCTCTAGCCTGGTGGTCCTAAGTCCGGTGGTGCCAGTGCTCCTTAACTTTTTGGTTCTGTCTCCCTAATCTGGTGGTCCCAAGTCCAGTTGTCCCAACTTTCCTGAGCCTGATGGTACCAGCGCTCCCTAGATCAGTGGTCCTAATTCTGGTGATCTCAGCACCAGGGACCAGTGGTCCTGAAGGTCCCAAACCCGGTGGTCTCTACTTCAGTGGTCTTGAAGTTTCCAAGCCTGGTTGTCCATGCTCCGGTGGTCCCAGAGGTGCTACCTTTGTCATCAGTGCTTCCTTTGATGACTACTGCCATCTTGCTGTACACACTTCCTCATTTGAGGTGGCATCGTCCACTGCAACTCTGTTCTGCCACTGCCCTGCCTGTTCTGACACGCCATGAAGGCTGTCCTTCTCTGCTCTGTCACGGCCACAGAGGCCGTTCCAGAGTTCCCAGTGTTCCTTGCCAGTACAATCACAGCCAGTAGTGGCGTCACTTGAGGCTGATGATACATGGGGCAACTTTTTGAGCAATTTTGCCAGGCAAATTTTTTTGAGCAATGTTGCTTGGGCACTTTCCCACTGAAAATGGGTAACAAATTTCTATCAGGATACTTTAAATCGGTCGTGGGCCCTGTGTCTCACATGGTTGCCCATTGATGGCAATATTAGCTAAAGTTGCCCGGCAACATTGCTCAAAAAAATTTGCCTGGCAAAATTGCTCAAAAAGTTGCCCCGTGTATCATCAGCCTCATGAGTTTCAAAAGTTCTTCTTAATGGAACCCTTGAGTTGTCTTCTGCAACTTTATGAGCAATGTTGCTGGGCAACTTTGGGCAATGTTGCCATCAACAGCCAACTAGGTGAGACACAGGGCCCATGACTGATTTAAGGTATCCAGATATTAATTTGTTACTCATTTTCAATGGAAAAGTGCCCAAGCAACATTGCTCAAAAAAAGTTGCCTGTCAAAATTGCTCAAAAAATTGCCCCGTGTATCATCAGCCTGAGGCATTGTGCTCGCTGTGTGAACATGATGCATAGTTCTAGAATAATATGAGCATGTATTTCCTCATCTCACCCGCACAAAAACAGATTCAGTATTCCTCAAAATGAATAAAAACAATCAAATGCAAACTAAGAATATTATACAAACCTGCAATAATTAAATGTTAAATAAGACAAATATAATTTATGTATTTAATCCCATTTTATTAACCAATCTCTTTGCTATTGACTTTCGATGATCCAATTCAACCATACTAAGCAAAAATGACACATTTGTATTTCATTTTTGTTTTTGATGAATAGTGTTGAGCTTTCTTCTCCTGCGTCATATTCTTCATGCAGTTTGTTTGAACTGCGCCCTGAAGATAGATTTTATAAGGGCCAAGAGATCAGCAGATGCATCACACAAGTACACTAACATACCCTGGAATTGATTAGAACAATTGACTGCCCCATTCCAAGAGGTCCATCAATAACTTCTATTTTTTTAACTTTGGTTTTTAAATACATATGCCCTTTGTAGTGATTTTTAAAAATCACAATAGGCTACAGATAAACAATAAAGACTACACCTAGTGAAAATTTTTTTGTTCTCTATATATTCTCAGGTAAGTTTATGTTTGAAAACTGAGGTAAGATGACCCTACCTGGTGCAATAAGGGTAAACATCCTAGTCATTTTTTTTGATTGCAGAATTTATCAAATACATCTGATTTCATTGTACTCTATATAATATAATTCCAAAAGAAAAGAACAATAAATAAGAATTCTAAAATAAGACCGTGTGCGTTCACATCAGCACATGAGTGGGACAAAGGCTGCAGGAGGTGACGTCAGCAAGCCGCTTTCCCCCCCGTGTTGACTCAATAACAAGAAAGAAAGAGAAGAAAAGTGACCTGAGAGAAATGCTTTGTCTTGTGCCACATCGCTCGCTTTCGAAACGACTTCAACAGCGCCGGTGTTGTGTAGCCACTGCGATCTCGGTTCTTCGGTCTGCTGTACAATTCAAATGTCTTTGTCTTCTCGCCAGTGAAGTTTAACGGAAAATCTGTTTAAGTCGTTTGCGCGAGGATTTCTGTTCCGAAAAGGATCTTATGACTCTTCTTTTTGATTTTTACACGTAAACATGTTTGTTTTTTGGAAGAGCAGCAGTAATATGAGTGATTTGGTGGGTCCGGGGTATCAGGGTTGCGTGGACGGGAAAATTTGCAAAAGGGTGAGGAAATGCAGTATTTGATGAACATTTGTTAATTTCATGATTGTGGACTCTAGACTTTGTCACTTGAAGTAAACCTGAATTACGCTTATCAACTGGGAATTGATTGGATCATGAACAAAGCAGAGTTTGCAAAAACAATGCCTAAAGATCTATTTGTTTCTTGATCGACATTATCGAGTATAGCGAAGAGAGGTCAGCAGAAAATGAAAAAGATTAGTAAGTTAGTAAATTAGTAAAACTGACTGCATTTCTCTTGCCAACAAAAAACTCTTCTCCTATGAGGTACGAGTATTACTCAGAGATAAGATTGTTTAGCTGTGTGATAACACATGATAACAGCATCGACTCCTGTAGCTCATGTGATGCTCAGATCCCAAACTCAAGCTTCTGTTTCCAGCTGGAGGGTTCGAGTCATGTGACCTTCCTTTCAAGTTTGAACCCTAAGGTCCAGAGTTGTTTCTTTCCCAATATCTAACCATGTCATGTGATCATTCGGGTTCAAAGATACACTATAGTGTTTGCTCGGTTGATATTTGGTCATTCTGACCGAATATTCATTCAAACTGCTACTGATCATTTTATAAAGTGAATGTGGAGGTGTTAGAATGTTATTTACTTAGGTGTTAGATTAAAACTTTGAGTAACTTGTCCCACATTTGGGGTACGGATAGGAATGAGAACTCAAAACATGCAGCTTGTTGAAGTTCTAAGCAATCGGAATTTAGATTTTTACCTGTTGGATGATCAAATAGGTGAAAAAAGGCCAATTTAGCAATGTCCCGGCATGATGGGAGTGAGTTTTGGGCCTCACTTTTTTTTTTGCCAAAGGATGTGAAATAGGTTTCTAATTCTTACTTCCCAAAAGCAGCTTTTTTTTTTTTTTTTTTTTGGTCATGCACTGAATAACCCCCAAAAACGACCTCTGACCTTTCTAAAGTTACACATTACCATGGATCTGTGCTGTTCCTGTTGATCATTAAACTTTTTGCTGTGTACAGAGAAAAAAATATCCTAATCATTAGTTGTTATCAAAGGACTGGCATTTATTTATTCATGTATTGTTTTTCCAGTAAGAAGTTTAGCTTACATTTTCAGGATAGATTAAGAAATTTGACCTAAAAACAAAGCTGGGAGAAGTTCTGTCTTATGAACACTGTCAGAGCTCTGCTCATGCTTGTGTATTTACCGAATGCACTTCCTCTTTGTTATTCTGGCCACTTCCTGGCTTCTTTTTGGCTGCTTATCTTTGTTGACGTCATCGCTGTTAGTTTCCTCAGACGTTCAATAATCGTCATCCCGCTTCTGTTTGGCTGGTGATTACAGAGTAACCGTTTGCATATTTGAAAAACATCCAGATATGTCTTTCAGCTTCTGTTATAGTGGGCTAGTTTGACATGGAGTTTTGGCATTAAATTCTGTTCCTTGAGAGCGCTTGTTTTGATGTACATCAGTGATAGCATTATTTCATTTCTAATTTTGTTGGTGGTTTAGCTGTCGTCGTCCCCCACCCCCTGCAATTTATTTGATTTAATTTTGGCTTATGTGTGCTAGACTATTATAAATCTATACATCTTAATTCACCCAAGTGTTGTAAAAAAAAAAAAAAAAAAAACCCTAATCTATTTTTGATATTCAACAGAATTTAAAAAAAGTTTTTAATGAGGCTGAAGTAGTATCTAAACCTCATCAAATTTAATTTCGTTTCAGTTTTGCGATTTTTTTGTTGTTGTTAAATTTACTTTTATTTTTTATGTTTTTATCTCTTTTTATCACTTATCTTTTACTCTTATTTTAATCATTTGTCATGTATGTGAAATGGGGCAAAGCCCCCTTATTATTATGAATTAAAAATTAATATATATTATTTTAAAAAGCAATAATATATTAATTTTTCAAGCAAAATATTTCACAAAAATATGTTTTACAGGTTTAAAATGGTTTTATATATATATAAAACCATTTTAAACCTGTAAAACATGTTTTTGGGAGATATTTTGCTTGGAAAGGTGCATGCACTATATTTCTTTAAAATAAATGACACTTGATTTGATATTTTGTTAACTAACTGATACAGACAACCTTTTTTATCTCATTTTTGTCCCTCCATTGCATCCAAACCAATGTGTGTTCCTTATAGAACATATATAACATATTGGATATTAATCAGAATTAATATTTTATTCAGTAAGGATACATTAAATTGATCAAACATGACAGTAAAGACATTAATAGTGTTATAAAAGTTTGTATTTCAAATAAATGATGTTCTTTGTTCATCAAAAAATCCTGTATTGCAAAACTATATTAAGCAGTACCAAACTGTTTTAGATATTGATAATAATAAGAAATGTTTCTTGTGCCAAATCAGCATATTAGTATTATTTCTGAAGGATCATGCGACGCCGATGACAGAACTCATTTTAAATGTATATTAAATTAAAAAAAAAAGTTTTTTAAATTGTGATAATATTTCACTTTATTACTATTTTTAATGTGTTTTCGATCAAATAAATGCAGCCTTGGTAAGCACACGATAGTTGAATTTTTTTCAAAAAAACAAAAAATAAGATGTCTTTACATCTTTGTCTTTACAGTGAAAAGGTTTCGTGAACCCGTCGGAATAAGAAGACCATGGAGGATCTGGTAATAATATTAAACATTAGTTCAGAATTATGGTAAAATAATACAAAAATAGCACAGAAGAGAGCAAACTCTCATTCTTTTTAGTTTTCTCCAGGTTCTTTGATACGTCAAAGCAGGCCGTTGGGGCTCTTTTCATGCATTTTGCCAACGTTTTCTTGTCCACACTCACCAATGAAGATCCCTGTTCTCTGTGAGTCAATTATTAGCCTGATTATTTGTCAAGTTTATTGCTTTAACCTGGCATTAAACTAACCGAATGGCCCTTTTCTGTTTTTAACAGATATCTGTTGAACTTCCTGTTGGATGCCACATTGGGAATGCTGGTGATCTGGGCGGGGGTGAAGGTTGTTTCCAAGATAGTGGAACATAAACAGCTAACACTGCTGATGTTTGGAGAATATGGTGAGTTACACTGATGGAAGCTAGTTATAATGGGTGAAGAGTGGGGATAAGGGGTCAGTTTAATGTCCAAGACTACAGGCATAACACTCAGGAAAGCATAAACCAAAAATTCTAAACAAAAGAGAAACTGATGCATCTATTTGAGCCGTTTGTTACCAACAGAGGGCGCTGTATGTTATATTTTTCACATATGTTTGGGTAGTTTCCCCACATTTGCTTTTTCCCTCTTGAGGGATTCCCTTGGTAAAACACCATAGAAAAATTAAATTACACGCACACACACACGTGTGCACATGCACACAAAGCAGATGGAATACGCCCATAGTTTCACATGATTTTGGCCAAACAATTGTTCACGACTGTTTTTCTGCTTAGATCAGTTTTTAAATCCCTGTTTTGACTGTGCGCCATGTCCAGTTTACCATAATGTTTGGAGGCTGATCACTTAAAAGTGCTCAGATGCTCAAATCAGTGCTACTACTATAATAAAATTACCAGCATTCATTAAAGTTAAAGAGAATTATTTCTTACGATTTTATTATTATTTTTTTATCATATGGAAGAACGTAAGTGCCATATAAACAAATAAATTAGTCTTTGATTAAATACACCAATATATTTGCCAATCTTGCTTTCAATTAAAAAAATAAATAATCAAAAATAATCATCATAAAAATAATGTGCTTATGTAGCAATGAATAAATGTATGTATCTTTCACAAAATAAATAAATGATGAAATGTCAACAATTATTATATGTGTTAATGTATTATATAATAATGTAATAAAATGACATGTTATGTATTTATTTGATGTGCATATTATATTTATTTATTGTCACATGTCATGGTTTATTATTATTTTTATTTTTTAAAATTATTTAATTAAATGTATTTATTAATTAAATGTATTTATTTATTGCCAAATTTCATGATTTTTATATATATATTGGCATATATTTATTTATTTATATATCGGGCATGATTTATTTGTTTATTGAAAGGTTAGTTCATTTGTTTACTGACACATTACATGGTTTATTTATTTATTGGGTTACTTATTCATTAAATAAATGTATTCATATATATACTTATATATATATATATATATATATATATATATGACATATTTCAATAAATAAATAAATACATATTTATTTAATGAAATACCCTATCTCTTGATATTTTGTTTCTGGATTTTTAAAAATGTTTTACAGTTTTTTTTTTGTTAGTTTTTTTGGCTACTGATGACTTAACAACTACATAGCAATAGTGTCAAGCACTTCAGAAAATGTAATCAATTGTAGTACATTTTTGAATGTGTTTTAGGTGATCCTCCTCGGATAGCAGCCTGGTTGGCTCAGTGCTCAGTGTATTTACTCATTGTTGCTCTGGAGAAAAGTGTGGTCACTCTGGTGCTGCTCGTTCCTGGGTGGACCAATGTAAGATAAACTTTCACACACTCAAATGTTCTGTTATTGTTACACAGACTCACCCCACTGGCATCATTTCCCTAAACTAAAACCGGTCTCTGATCCAAATATTTGTTGTTAGATTTTGAGCAATATATAGGCCTAACTCTTTTTGGAATGGTTTGCTTTTTTTATTGGTTTAGATATTTTCCTGCCTAACGCAATGACATTCATAAGGATGACAAATTGAATGTTTTCGGTGACTGTGTGAAACAAGTCAGCCCCATATGTATCTTTTGTTCTTTCTGTTTTTTTATGAATCAACATAAATAGACAAATTACTATTTGTACTGAAGGATGTCCTAATATGGAATGATGAAATGAGGACTGTGACTACAGAGATAATATTTCATCTGGATTAGTGTGGGAATAATGAATAGATTATCTGTGCATGATTTCCTCTATAGACTTGTTTTAATTTAAGTGAAGTAAGCTATGTATTTATTAATTTTCATACTTAATACACTCAGAAGAAAAGGCACAAAGCTGTCACTGGGGCAAGACCCTAAGGAACAAAAGCTAAAAGGTACATCTTTGTACCTTATTTACCCCTAAATACTATATATTAGCACTTTAAATGTACATTTTAGTACCTTAAGTGTACATATTAGTACCTCTTGAAAGGGTACCGCCGCAGTGACAGCTTTGTACATTCTTTCTGTACATGCAATTTCAGACTTGTTCTAATTTTTGCTGAAAAAAGCTATGCATGCATGTACACCGTAAAAAAAATGGTGTGGAAGTGATTTTTGCTTAGAATTTGCTAGTAAACAATTACAAAGAAACTGCAAGTAACCCATTGAATTAAACACGAAAGTTGAAAAATTGAAATAATATTTTCCTGTAAAACACAATCTTTGTTTTATTCAAAAACTTCAAAAATATAATTTTTTTTTACAGTGTATGCATTAGGGATATGCCGGTATCAAATTTTCATGTTGCGATGAATTGCTAATGCTTTTATCACGGTATACGGTATTATAAAAGGTTTAATAACATTTTTCTTTTAACAAAAATAACTGAACATTTAAATGCAATAAAGCAATACAGAAAAATTTATAAAGTTAAAAGTTTTACACAGATTAAAGTGCAAAAGAACTATAAAGACCAATAGGTGTCACTTTACAATAAGACCTCATTAGTTAACCTTAGTTAATGCATTAACATTCACAATGAGCAATAGCTACATTTGCTACAGAAGTTATTAATCTTTGTTTAAAAAATACAAGTCTTAGTTCATGTTAGCTCATTAAATAACACAGTTGCAACTTTCGATTTTAACAACGTTTTTATTAAATATTGGAATACCTAAGATTAATGAATGTTCAGAATTTTTCATTGGCAGTTTATGTTAACGAATGAATTAACTAATGTTAACTAATGAAGCAAATCAAATCAAATCAAAACACTTTCAAACAATATCTAGGGCATGTTGTAGTCCAGATTAAAATGTAAAAAAAGTTTGAAAATAAATAGCCTATTAAGTCTAAATATTTAAGTATTTGGCGCTGTGATGAACATCATAGCAAATACACAAATCTGAATGGCTGTTTAAATCATTTAAACACGATTCAGAAACAGAAAGTAGTGCAGCTGCTTTGTTTACAGGGTTTCCGGGGTAACGGCTGCATTTCTGCAGTTTAGCGCCATCTGCTGTCATCCAGAGCGTCTCTCACATGTTCCGCCATGCGCATCAGAGTGCGCATGCGTCTTTCACGCAGCATACAGCAGTGTTGTGCATTCTGACCAGTTGATGGGAAAAGTATTCTTAAAATGCATTCAAAATTCGGAATAATTTGTAATATATAATTATTCACGGTATTTAGAAGTGCCCACGATAACAATACCGTGCATATTCATTACCGTGATATATCGCATTACCGAATACCGGCACATGTCTAGTATGCATGTACGTATTTATGTTTTCAATGCATACGTCATACATGCAATTTCATACTTTCTCACTGTAGGATGTCTAGATATTCTCGAATCATTTGTAGACAGATTTCATATTATCATTTTAATATACTAGATGGATATGCATTGACCGCTGGTGTGTTTGTGTGTTATAGCTGGAGGAGGTGGTGCTGGACTACATCCCAAACCCACAGCTGGAGTTGGCTATCGTCATGCTGATCGTGCCTTTCATTGTAAACGTGAGTCATTCAAGAGCATCTATCTATCTATCTATCTATCTTTATGTAATAAAATGCACCTTATTTCTGTAAATATGTGTGTTTCAGTCTATAATGTTCTGGGTGGTGGACAGTTTAACAATGCGGAAATATAAGAAAATGACGTCTCTGGAGGGCTCACGTGACTGTCCTAAGCAAGTAGAGGTGTTGCCAAATGACAGCAATGACGAAGCTGAGGTGAGAATGTCCCAATAAATAAAAACATTTCACTTGTAAAAAACACAGTTTTGACCAAAATTGTAATGTAATAGTGAATTATAATTGCCTATTAAAAGTGCCTCACTTTATTGCTATAGCAATATGGTTTATCACACTATTAAACTGTAATATAGAGTGAAATGTAAGCAAAGCACATTTTTGTAGTCATTGTCCATTTCTAAGCCATATTTAAAGTGATGTGTCCAGTGTTGAGGTTTAGTGTGTATGCTTATGGTAGCTCAATAATTGCTACTTGACTAATTACTATTTGCCATTTACAGTAGATGATGCTTTTGACTTGCAGTTCACTTTATACAGAGACAAGTCATTGTGTAACTTGGGTTAAAGTAGCTCACAATAGTGTGCTGTAAAAAATATTTTGTGACAAACATTTACAAATTTATTAATGTTAAAAATATTTTTTAATATGAAAGCCTGGATACTGTACATTTTGTTTGTAAGCTATTTTAATGGTCAGATTTGATAGAAATACAATGGTTCTTTAAAGTAACAAATGCCAGTTCTCATGTTTTACTCATGGGTCACTTCTTGCAAGATTTGAATTGAAGTGTGTCATTTCTGAGGCACCAAAGAGAATTCCAAAAGCTTTCGTAATATCACCATGTGCAATCCATAGGATGTTCTTTATCCTGGGTTTAACAAATCAGTGTTGAGATCCAGGAACAAATGAGTCAGTAAACCTGATCCTAATGACCCTGTTCCCCATATCTGTCCCTCAAGACATTTCATTCTAGTCTGGATTAATTCAGCGGTTCTCAGCTGGTTAGTCTCAGGCCTGTAGAATAAAGCAGGAAAAAAACAAACACAGCTAATAATAAAATGCAGTATAACCATATCATTGTTTATAGTAAGAATGCCATGGATTTACCAAATTTTGCAGTGGAGGAGTGAAAAAAAGCATGTACCCATTCAAACTCAATGATATTTTTATGGACATTTGTTATCACTTAATAGAAATTATCCAAATTAGACAGATGACATATGTGTAACCTGATCTCATGGTCATAAAAAAAAAAAAATTAAATATGACCCAGACTACATAAAATACAGATTAAAATGATCAGACAGACCAGAATGTGTTTTCTGTGTTGAATTATTTACTGTCAAGAGCATGAAACCATCAATTTATTTCTCATTCAGCCTGTTACATTCATAATTTTCCATATTATTGGGCTAATGCAGTTTATGAATAAACTGCATATAATATGAATAAATCAAAATGTTTGATTTTACAGACACCCACTTGAGGTCCAATGTAAAATCTGGGTCCTGAAGCAAAACTAAACCCACTGGACTAATTCAATTTTTTTTATTAGCTTGGCTTTATTCTTGCATATGATTTAAAATGAAATGTGCCAGCTGAAATGAATGTTTTGTTTCTTGGGTTGTATATGAATAGTTTGATTGTGTGTTGTATTCTTCTTCTTGAATGGTGGGATTGTGCTTTATGAATGTGATTACAGGACAGATATTTTTTTAATATTTGCATCATTTGACCAAAGACCTTTCCAAAGGCCGTTGACCTCTAGGGTCAAATGGTCTTCATTTGTTTGGCAATACAGGGTCTTTCCCATCTCTTTTACTTTGTTCTCCTCTTCTTCTCTTTTATTTTTTTCTCATCCCTCTTTCCCTCACTCCTCCAGTTGTGGAAGTGTGCCAGCTGCTCACAAATCATCCATTTGTTCGGCGGGAGCAGTGACATTTGGAGCATGTTTCCATAAGCTCATGCTATAGAGAATGAACCCAAATCTGTGGAAAAGTGTGTTTGATGAGTGCCGATATGAACGAGAACTTACAAACTGGTCTAGTGTCAATCTTCTGCTGAATCCATGCATCTGGGCTTGTGGTTTTATAATCAGTAGATTTACGCAACTATAAAGTGATCCAGCTCACATGAACGGGAAAACGATCATGTGTAAAATCTGGCCAGGCTCTTCAGTTGACCTCAAACTGTGTTTATATGTTTGTGTAGGTGCTGCTAAAGGAAGATGAAGATGATGCTACAGTGTGTTCTGAACAGGAAGAACACGTCTCAACAGAAGAGGTGTTAATACGAGTCTGTATGAAAGTTTAAAACAAACGTTTAGAAGTATACTTGTCAGAATTTCTTAAACACTATATATTTGTTCCTAAACCTAGTGAGCTGCCTTGATGTTTACTTCCTACATAGGCAGATACCTTCCAAATTGAAATGGAAACTCATAAGTGACTTTGGAACACTCTAATTAGACTTCAACTTAGCACAACTCAGAACTTTTCACGTTAAGTACACCACACTGGAGATGGGACTCGGTTGATACCAATAGAGTTTGGCGTTAGCATGTTGCTAAGCTAACAACACAGTACCATAGACTGTAAAAAAAAAAAAAGGATGATGTGTCTCCACTTCCATCCACTACGGAAAAGGGAAGCCAAAACATCTCAGTAATAGCCGCTGTCATCTTGCGAAAAAAATGACGTCATTTGGAGCCCAAGTCTGCGCAGTAGTGATTCATTTGGAGACAGAGTCTGCGCAATAGTGATCAAGAAGTGGAGTCGCGGAAGTGGAGTCCCACCCAAACTTCCACGGACCCAATCGCACACTCACAATCATGACACCACACCCCATTTTTGTAGCATCAAATAATTAACTAAAAGCAAACTTATTTAAAAAAAAAAAAACGCTTGAACATACATTAAGAGCGATAAGAACTACCTAAAAAGATGGAAACCATCTTTGGGAAAATTTTATTGTATTATCTGTTTTATTAAATTTTATTAATTTCATAATTATCGTCCCATTCGTTTACATGGAGAGGGCGGGGTTTTTGACCTATACTGCAGCCAGCCAACAGATGGCGATCCAAATGTTTTGGCTTCACTTTTCAGGTGAACACTTGCACACTTGCACAATACTCAATACTTGAGACGATACTAAGTATGTAAAATTGTCAGTGTTTAGTTAGATTGATATATACTTTTTTAGCATTAAATGAAATGTGTTTATCATCGACATTTTGTTTATGAAATTTGTATGCTAGTATGGTCTGGAACAGCCTTCTTATGGGAGAGTGCCAATGATGCTTTAAATAGAGCTTTTCATGGGAGTACACTTGGGAGAGTAGATTTACAATTGTTTCCAATTGTGGGGTGTTTACACAACACCATTTTTAACTAAAAATGGAAAACTTTTTATGCGTTGTGGCTGTTCATTTACACGATAGTGGTGCTTTGTGGGTCTGAAAACCCAAACCTTTGAAAACGGGTTTAAAAAAAGTGCAAGGTTTTGAAAACCGTTATCGTTTCCGTGTAAACTGCAAAAACACAAATTTGTGAAAACGGTAATGTCATGCGCATGCGTATTATATGTTAACATAGTGTTTCTACAATAAAGTGACATTGCCAACTACTGGCCTGGCATACATTATACAGCGTTTTTAGTCGTTTTCGCGAAACCGTGTAAACGGGAATCGTTTTGACAACGTTGTCATCTGTACATGAAAAACACAAAAGAAAAACGTTTCTGTTTTTCGTGTAAACATGCCCCGAGTCTGATGTTAGCATGTCGCTAAGCTAACAACCCAATAGGTAAACGGATTCCTTTGTCAACATTTCTCTCAGATCGTCCGCCATCTTAAAATTTAATTTAAAAAAAGTAAGTAAATAAAATTCATCGCAATATTTTCTGGAATTGCCTTCTCCGGAAAAAAAAAAATCTCATGCAATGCTGCCAAGTATTTTGGCATTCAATTATGTTTTGGTTACCATGAAGATACGTTCCCAGAACATTCTGATAGCAGTTGTTAGAGGGACAATGCTGTCTAGGTAGGCAGCTCTCTAGATTTTGAAGCAGCTGGGAAGTTTTAACAAAACTTTAAGCAGACACATGCAATTTGACATGCTATACTTCATGTAAAATTGCATTTTGCTTATACTCTTATAATTGTTATGCATGCAGCTTATATTAAATGCGAGCTCATTTAAATTGAGATACTACATGGAATATTTGTGCTTTTAAAAATTCATGTCAGGCTTTTAGAAGTAGTGAATCAAAAATGTGATTTAAAATGGTCACCATTTGACAAGTTACAGCATCTAAGTTATATATTTTGCTTTATACATTTATATAAACTTCAACCTAAAATCTTGATGTTGAAAAAAAAATTGTTCAGTAAGAGCAACAGTTTTATGAAATACTTTAAATTACATTGTATGTTAATGTATAAGCAGACTAGATAATTATCAGCATACCAGTTATTAAAAGGAAACATTATCCTCCTTCCACATCCTTTAGAGTTCATACTTCTAAGAAGTTAATTAAAAGAAGAGAGATGAGAGAGGAGGTCTAGTGTTTCTCCTGATTACAGACATTCAGACTTTTAATTTGTAGTCTAAACAAGTCATGTCACTACCTGTGATGAACACCTCGCTGTAAAAACACTACAACCATGTTTCCAGCTCTGATGCATGCTAGAATATTTCATATCTGAAAGATGCGCTCAAACAATTTGTAAATATTCAGTATTAAGTGAAAGACCAAATTATCTTTGTTTAAACATTGTAGTGTTGTTTTTTTATGATTGTTTTTGTATTTTTACACATCATGCACTATAGTTCTGAATAACAATTTGATATAACTGATGTATAAAATATACAACATGATGTAAAGTAACTGTAAACTTTGGAATTTAAGCTGTTAAATTATATTGATTTCTTCAAAATTGTAGCGATGCCAACACGCACATGCAATTTCTTCAACATGAGGAAACATCTTGTTGAAAAATGTTGACTTGATGCCTTATTTGGATGAAAACTAATAAAACTAGTTTGAGTGACTTAAACATAAATTGTGAAGTGATATAAAATATTGCTTGTAATATAAAGTCCAATCTAGAACTCATTTTGTAGCAGAAAGTAGTCACTTTTTATTTTTTTTAGGAAGATTTGTGTTCTTAATGCGTTTATATGTACTAATTGTTTTATAAAAGTAATAATGCACTTGGCACCATTTTGCTTAATTTGAACCATAGGGTCATTGTGTGGATAAACGTTCAATTTTTTTCGCTATCAGTAAGCAGGGTCACGTCTCCAGACCTTTTATGTGAAGTATATTAATAACCACAGCCAACAAAGTCCTGTGTGACAAAGGGGCTCTAAGAGGTAAGCAAACTTAGGAAAGAACACCTGAAGGGGAGGGTCCTGAAACCATTTGACCTCAGTCTGATGACAGACATTAGTCAAGTCGGGTAGAATTTCTCAGCTGTTATGGATATAACACCTCTCAGAAAAAAAGGTACAAAAGCTGTCACTGGGGCAGTACCCTTTCAAAAGGTACCAATATGTACAATTTAAGTACGAATACTTTTAAGAGGTACAAAAGCTGTCACTGGGGCAGTACCCTTTCAAAAGGTACCAATATGTACAATTTAAGTACGAATATGTACTTTTAAGCTACTAATGTGCACCCTTTAGGGATAAATAAGGTACAAAGGTGAATGTTTTGAAAGGGTACTGTGACAGCTTTTGTACCTTTTGTTCTGATTTTTTTTAAAGTTTGTTTGTTTTATTTGTGCTTTTGTGGTTTGTTTAACATTAAAAAATTTTTCTCCTTGCTAATAGTGACCTTTTCTCTTTGCCACAATAATGGCCCACTTTTTAGGTAGGCAGGTTCTGTAAGTATTTCTCTAATTAATTATCTCTTTAGACCGTATATTTCAAGCAATTTAGCATTTGAAAAATACATACAATTAAAAAAAAACATTAGGAACTTATTGAAATTATTATTTAACTTTAATAAACATCTGTAACATTAGTAAATCAAAAGGATGCATGTCATCAAGATTCTGTCTGATAAGATGATTATTTCTACGTTATGCATAACCAATAAATGGCAGATATAAAAAAAATTAAATTATTATTGACAAAATAATTATGGATACAGTGACATTTGTTTTGTCACATTGAATGATATTGAATAAATATCTACTGGAATGATTAAAAAAAGCTAATCATGACCAATAACAGATATTGTACCAATATGTCATACATCCCTGACAATAATTTTCATTTTTTTTATTTTAATTTATTTCTTGAACTGAAGCTGAATCAAAATTTAAATGTAGTACTTTTTTAAATAATAAAAAATAGTAATATTTCAAAATAATTATTGACATCTTTATTGGCATATGTTTTCTATCTATCTGTCTGTCTGTCTGTCTGTCTGTCTATCATCTATCTATCTGTCTATCTATCTATCTATCTATCTATCTATCTATCTATCTGTCTATCATCTATCTATCTATCTATCTGTCTGTCTGTCTGTCTGTCTGTCATCTATCTATCTATCTATCTGTCTGTCTGTCTGTCTGTCTGTCATCTATCTATCTATCTATCTGTCTGTCTGTCTGTCTGTCTGTCATCTATCTATCTATCTATCTGTCTGTCTGTCTGTCTGTCTGTCATCTATCTATCTATCTATCTGTCTGTCTGTCTGTCTGTCTGTCATCTATCTATCTATCTATCTGTCTGTCTGTCTGTCTGTCTGTCATCTATCTATCTATCTATCTGTCTGTCTGTCTGTCTGTCTGTCATCTATCTGTCTATCTGTCTGTCTGTCTATCTATCCATCTATCTATCTGTCTATCTATCTGTCTATCTATCCAT